TGAAAATAACTTGTTTAAGTTATGCCCCTGACTGTTTATTATACCTTGTAATTGTTTTAATGAGTTAATCAGAGAGGCTAATGTTACCTTTACATCACAGGCCTCTGGATTGCATAAAAAAAATTTTGTGTGTAAAAAAAAATAAAGGTATGGAATTCTTACACTGGGTACCCAATTTCGCTAATAAAATATTTTTTTATTCAAATGCTCTAAAATTCTACTTTCTGTTTAAATCTATTCATAGATAAACATTCTTCATTTCTACCAAAGCTAATTCCGAAATTCCATATATTTCTCGAGATATTCTGAAATCAATTCATAATGTTGTTTGTGACTTAGTAAGATCATATGATCAAATTAGAGAAAAACCTTGTAAAGCTCGAATGCAAATGAGCAAACATTCATCAAGTTTAGAATAAATTCCAGGGAAAATTTGTCCCGTCGTTCGGCTTATCAGTTACTGTAGCTCTTCAAAGGCCCAAGCTGATGTCGAGTAAAATCAAAGTACTCAGAAGTACAGAGAGCCGGGCTCATTTACAGAGTAGAATGAATTTCTTACATGAATCACGTTTATATTCTGATGAAAAAATTATTTTATAACTATCAATATAAATGATAAGACACTGACAGTGAGTTTTTCAATCGAATCCTAATACCATGGTCTGATTTTGTCAGAATCAGAATTAATCTGGTACCGCAGCTGAATGTAAACAAACAGGCCAGTCTGGTTCCCTCTCCTGCTTTACCTCGTATGTGTAGAGAACTACGGTAACACTGATTATCAAAAATCCTTACGCTAATGAACTATGTTCTTTGACTTATGAAGTTTTCAAAGTCTTTACTGCTAATGCTTATTTTATATAGAAAAACTTCGTTTTATTTTTGTTGCTTTATTTAGCGTTTGTATTATCTCAAAAGCGGTTGAGAATAAGAACTATATTTTTGCACGTAACTTTAAAATGGCGACTATGGGGTCAACATCCTGCCTTGAACAGGATCACATAAGCCGGCAATTGCTCTTTGAGCAATAAGCCCGGCTAAAAATTAAGGTCAATTATGGAATTGATTTCAGAATATCTTGAGAAGTATAAGGAATAAGGAATGAACTTTGGTAGTAATGAAGAGTGTTTATATATGAATAGATATGGGTAGAAAGTAAAATTGTAAGGCATTTGATTTAACAGAATTTTATTGGCAAAATAAGGTACCCTATGAGTATGAAAAGAGTTCCATACCATTATTTTTTTTTCAACATCTGAATTTTTTTTTTTAAGCGATCTAAAGGCCTGTGCTTTATATATAAGCGATGATCAACCGTTTATGAATAGCTTCCTATTAGAAGTAGTGCTGGGTATCGCGACAGAAAAATCGTATCGCGATATATTGCAATATTATATTTTGTACTGCAATATATCACGATATAAATATTTAAAAGATTTTTGCTTTTCGTCAAGGTTAAATGAAAACACAAACTTACAATTAACTCACAATTACATGTATTCTCAAGTTGATTCTCCAATTGCCTGATCGCATTGTGTCGGCGCAAGTGGCAATATAAGTTTTTTTGTAGCACAACTTGTTGAATTCAATTAAGTTGTAATACTCAAATTCAGCTTTAACATGAAGGGGTTTCAATTAACACCGACAAAACTCTTTCAATTAAAATGATTGTGATTTGAAAATGGTTATGTCTATATCTTTTACCATGCCAGATTAGAATCTTGGTATATTATACATTTAAAGAAATCTAGTCACACAACCTATCTATAGTATTTTTTCCTAGCACCCCCCACCCTACCTATCCGTCCATCTACATGTACCATCAGGCATCTCTCACCGTCTAAAATATCACGTTTCCAATATAACTTTTACAGTCATATTTTGAGACAGTGCAATAATTTAATCATTTTTAGGGTTGATTAATTTACGTAGGAAGAGAATTTAAAATTGAGACTGAAAGATTTTTTTTTATTTCACGGATTAAATATACAGAAGAATTAATACATCTGTTAGAAGATCCTGGAAACTCTGACGAGTGTAGCAAAGAACCAATGAGGGCGCTTCTTACAGTAAGAAGGTGGGGCTTAATATCAGTCAATCAGGGGATTTGAGAATCTATAGCCTAGCTAGCTCACCAAAAAGATTTTGTGTCAAGATCGTCATGCCCTACGGAAAGTCCAAAGTGATGTATTAGAAAAAATAAGGTAAACGTACAATTACAATAATCGTATATCCGAAGTAAGTTTAATTGTACTGACAATTATCACCTGTGGTCCTACGTAGGAAGGTTACACTATTCTAATTTCCATGATTTGCAGCAGTAGAGGCAATATTCTGAAGCAAATTCATCGAGATGAGACACTAAATATTTATCGAATGGGTTGACATTCTTCCGGATTTTCCTTTTTCTGAAGTTAACACGATTACAGTTTGAATCGGAGTACAAATCTCTGTTTTCCGAGATGTATTTTCTCCCGCTAGAGAGGTATAATCGCGATTTAGCGAGATGATATCGCTAAAGGGGAAGTGTTCCCTACTTGTTATACCAGCTTTATTCTTGAGATTGTCCTAATTTTCTCAACCAGGGAGCCATAGTTCTGCAGCTTACCATGCTTACGCACGGCCTGCCTAATTGAAGACCTACGGGTAATTGAAGACCTAGAGAAGACCTACGGTAGACCTACAAAAATGTGGGATATATACAGCAAAACTGATGTAATATTCTGATTAGGCATGTCCTAAATATCTAAAATACACAAAAAAGTTTTATAAAAAGAAGTTTTAAAGTGTGTTTTTCAAGCTCGGTAAGGGGAACTATTTCTTCTCTTAGACAACCTACGGCAAGAATGATAACTCTGGCTGACTTGCCTTGTAAACTACAACACGCTCATTTATATTGTGAAGTTTATAGGAAGAATATGAATATGGAAAAAAAAAAAAAAATCCAAATGATTTTGTTGAGTTTTTCAATTAAAAATTATGATAAAGAAATAATCTGGATTATGAATTTTGATGAAGTTAAAAATATAAATAATTATCATGATTATTTCATTTATCAAATTAATATTCTACTTAAAATCTATAGTTATTATTTAATAGATATTGTAATTCTTTTAATAAGTTTTATGGGATAAATATTAGATATTCAAGTTCAAATTATTGATATGTATGCTGTGGATTTGTCTCTATTAACCAATATCACTCTGAACTAATGGCTTCGATCTTCACTTATGTGTTGTATACACAGGCTCCCTGAGGATATATCCGTGTTTTGATTGCAATTATCAACATACCCCACTTCCTCTGATAAATGTTAATTTGCAGTCAACAGAGCAGAGATCATATTTAAAAAATAATTATATTTATTAAATATCTTAAAAATGATAGCAAGAATAAACATATAAATAATTTTGCATTTATTCAGAATATAACTAAAATAAAGTACGTTTTGAATATTTTTTTCAATTTTCAAAATAAAACATTTATATGACACTCAGGAGGAAAATTTAATAATCTAAATGTATATTTCTAGATAACATGCTGTATGCCAAGAAATACATACTATAATATGAAACATTAGGTTTTATTTATTTATTTATTTTTTTTTATTTTTTTTTTTTTTACATTTGGAGCCAAAATATATGCAGTATATCAATCTTGAAGATACCCGGTATATCATTAATTAAATTGAAAGAAAATATACACTTTTTAAAATTGAATAAAATAATTAACATGCATGTTATCACACAAAAGAAATGCATGCATATTTTGAATAAAAATTATGATGCTTTGACACATGGGAAAAACGAAAGATTTTAAAAGTAAATGTGTCTGACAGTGTGTTCTTTTTGAAAAGTGAATTTTATTAATGATCAACAGTTCAAACCTGAAAAAAATATTAGGCCAAAAAAAAAAAATTAATCAATAGTTTCTCAGGCACCGCCGCATCAGTTCAAAAACGGCCGCATTGATCAATTTTATTGACATATTGAAAAGGGAAATAACTCAATTTTCTATTTTTCCAAGTTGAAAAAGAAAATCGAGTTACTGCCCTTTTCATAAATGCTAAGAAAGACGTTTTTATTAGAAAAACAATATCTTTCTAAATTTATAGTATTTTATAAATTAACTTTTAAATAAATGTTTTGAATAACATTATTTAAAGTTGAATATATATTATTTACTAATTTCAAAGAACAAAACTTAAGAATTAGTAGATATTATCATTTTATTGAACAAATGACTTTAAAAAAGGTGTAGACTAAATCCTGCTTCAAAAAAAAAGCCTGCCTGCTGCATTGAATTCTGATTTTTTTGGCCTGAGAAACTATTGATTAATTTTTTTTTGGCCTTACACTATCTATTTACAAACACATAAAATACTGAATATTAGATAATTATATACATGTGTATGTACTTATAATGATTTTATGATTGATCATATGATAGTATTATAAATTATGTAAAGTGTATATGTCTCTGCTTTGTAAAGTTTAAAAAATTTTACTGATTTTAATAACTTAATTTTTTTTTTAACAGAATAAAATTGTATCTGACTGACTATTTCATTTTTTTTTATCTTTGATGTATATTTATCTAAAATATCTCCAATTATTCTTTTCCGTCCTTTAATATTATTTATCTAATTATATTTTTCTGATAATTACATTTTCTTGATATGTTTTGGTGAACAGCTGATTTGTTATTTACGCGAGTTATCATTCTTGCCGTAGGTGGTCTAAGAGAAGAAATAGTTCCCCTTACCGACTTAAAAAATACACTTTAAAACTTCTTTTTATAAAACTTTTTGTGTTTTTTATATATTTAAGACATGCTTAATCAGAATATCACATCAGTTTTGCTGTATATATCCCACATTTTTGTAGGTCTTCCGTAGGTCTTCAATTACCTGTAGGTCTTCAATTAGGTATTCCTGCTTACGCATGATCTCAACTCTGCATGGTATTAAAACTCTAAACAGAAAGACAGACAACTCTTACATGTCTGGATCTCGTCTAAATGCACTGTTTAAGTCTGAGAGTAATCTACATCCTCTGCTGTCACTCGCCATCTTTGTTTTGATCACGTGATAGGCGGTGCGTCGATTTACCCAAATGGACCCAAAAGAACCCAATAGGAACCCAAAAGGATCCAAAAGGAAATTACAATGAAGCGCATTGAAGTGGTAAAATTTTTCGTTTGGACGAAACGTTCTGAGTCATGTTTTGAACGTCAATTACAACATAATGACACGCCCATATTTTTAGAAGCGAGCATGAAATATTCGTCGTAATGTTTTAGGACACCCCAATCTTCACGACAAGCAATATGAGTTACACTGAAAATGGAGCTTTAAAAAATAAGAAGAGAGAGTTAGACACTCCCAGCTTCTGTAAAACACAAATTGCAACGAATATGTATATATTTTTGAACTTATCATGTCTATTGAAGTTACCACAACACATGGTTCGGTCGAACACGTGTTTACTCGGTATTTATTTAGACCGTCAATTTCATTGGCTATTATATTTATGGAAAACCTGTTCTACAGGTATTCGAATAAACAAATTGACCGTTTTATCCATTTCTAAAGAAATGGGCGTGTCATAAACGTTCTAAAGATAGCTCAAAACGTTCCATTCGAACAGAAAATTTTACCACTTCAATGCGCTTCATTGTAAGAATAAATGGATATATGATAAACACTTTTATATTTTATAAAGACTAAAATTTTATGTTTGGGGTGGGGTGGGAGGTCCCCCACCGACCCGTCACCCCACCCCCCGATACAACATGTCATTAAATAAAACGTATTTCTTCATTAATTAAATATCATATAGTAAGATATGGTAAAACAGAATGAGAAATGGAATAATACTTTGTTAATTTCAGCTAAAAGAAATATAAGCATGATAAGCATATATCATATGGTATGATATAAGCATATATCTGACCAGTTTTCGTGTTTGATGTACTACAAAAGTCGTATGTTATTTCTTTAAGAAAAGTTACAACAATATAAATGTATGTTTTTGCCGGCAAACTTCGGCTGATTCCGTGGACTACATCAAACTAACTACGTTAGATGAGGTACGTATCGGCCGAGGTGTGCCGAGTGGTCATCTTTTATGTAAACTTATAATATAATATTCATAATTTAATTCAAATAATCAGTTTTCAGTGTATCATAATATATTAATTTGAGTCCTTTTGATTTCCTTTTGGGTCCTTTTGGGTAAATCGACGAACCCCTTGATAGGCTTTTACTTTCGACGTCAGCACATCGGACCCGAAAAATCTGCATATGGAAGGCGGTAAATGTAGTTACACAAATTAAAGGGTTTTCAAATTAGAATTTTAAATTGATTTTGTCCCCAATCATTGCATAACGTTATATGATTTAATTTAGTTCATCTTTATAATCTACGTTGATTTTTGTCATATATTTTTTTCTAAGCCAGGTAATCATGGTAATTAATCATTCAATGTATGCAAAGCTTTCGTGATTCGGCTCTGTATCTGCTGCACTGCAGGGGGGGGGGGGGGGTCGGAGGCATTCCACAATGGACTGGAACACCTGAAATAAATAAATGAAATTAAAAGTGTGTCTTAAAAGTCGTAACAGTCATAAAAGTACAAAAGTATAATAATCGTATCTTATGAATCTTCTCTATAAAAAAATTAAAGTCATAACATTCATATAAAAGTATAACAATCTTATCTTAAGACTTTAAATATTAAAAATTATGAAAAATACCTTTTTGTAGTCTTTGGCATGCTTTCCTGACATCAGGGCAAAAGCAAGTGGCACCTGCTTCAGGGTATCCTTTAAATGTAAATGAATAATTTATATTAAGAAAATGAATTTTTTCAATAGTTATACTTAATTAGAAAATATTTACCTCTCATGCAGTTGGTCAGGGATGTTGAAGTCTTCATCCACATGGAATGTGGAATCAGGCTCAGGAACTGGCTCTGGCTCGGAGTCTGGCTCAGGAACTGGCTCTGGCTCTGAATCTGGCTCGGGAACTGGCTCAATGTCCATGGGTTCTGGCTCTGGTACTGGTCTCGTCGATGGAGATTCTAAAATTCAAAGTTAATAGTGAATATACATGTATATGTGTAAACAAATATATACACATAGCTAACAATAACTATCACCATAACTATTTATAAATAAATATTAATGAAATTTAATAACAACCAATACACCACTTGAATTATCAACATGAGTAACTTAAGATTAAACAATACAAATAGCATAAATTATCATACACATAAATCAGTATGTAATAAATATGTATAAATATTGTACATCGGAAACTTACTGTGCAATCCTGTTTGTGGATAAACTCAGTCTGGTGCTCTCGTGGACTGGCAGATCCTGAGAACAGTTCTGGCAAATCCAACGGTCAAGTCCTCTCCCCCTCATCGTCTCCCAGTACACCTCCTGTGACACACCTGTAAGGATTTCATATTTAGTACAGTACTTTGACAAAAAATTTTGTGTATTGTTACATAAAACATTCATTTTTAACTTTCACATGACTTGAATATATTCATTATATTTTGGTGACATGTTATATCTTAATTTATTTTCATATTTCAGATAACTTGAATGTAATCATTTTAACGGAAACTTACCAGTGCCCCATGTGCGATGCTGCCATCTGCCACACAAATCACAACATAAAGCATGTTGTCTAGCGGTTACCTACAATCAAATTCAATTTCTTAACTTCACTCTATCATACCTCAGTCTTAAAAGTTGTACTAATGTTAACAAATGTTATCAGTCTGACCTATATATTAATTAATTGAAATAGGGTATCTACCTAATTCAACATACAGTAGTGTGCCAAAAGTGAAGATAATATTTATTTTTTCTCTATACATCACATTTCAATCTATTTTATGCCTCTGGATTTACCTATACCATATGTGCAGATGATTTTTTTCCCACAAGATTTTGAATTTCCTGTAATTAGATCTTAGCTAGGTTTCAACTCGTAAATATTTTTGTTATATAATTTAAATATTTATTTGTTACGTAAATGAGAGGTCCATTTTTTTTATTCTGTGGATTTAATTTTATATATCTTAAACGACATAATCAATTTCACCACAACAAATTGTAATACGTAAATTTCACATCTTAAAGTTAGTCTTCTTTCATGCAAGTAATATATAGATATAAATATAATACATTTAGAAAGTTAGAAAATTTATGGCACCATAACGTATAGTTATATATATCGTGTAGATAGTAAATGCGATTGAAATACATTGTAAGATTTTAATGGTATATCGTATCAATCATTACATACAATTTTCATAAACACTGATAAAACTTATCAAATTTAAAAAAGGGGTAGTTACTAAACAGAGTACGCTAGAGTACAATAGTATACTTCAGAGTACGCTAGAAAAATCGTGTATTTTCATATATTTCCATTTCTAATTTTTTTTTCTCTGCGATAACTCTTTGAAAGTTGTCGGAATTTATTTCTTGATAATTCTGCCGGAATGTAAATTAGGCAGGTCGATAGGTCAGGAGCTAAGGAGGCCTAAAATGCATGCAAATCTCGCGCGCATCTGTCTCTGTGTCTGACGCTAAGGAGGTAAAATGTGCATGTAATTCTACCTAGTTTGACGTCATTGGGCGAGGACTATTGAAATTGTTATGGAAGTCCTCGAGTAATTTAAGTCTATGTCTACATTTTTAAAGTCTAAATCTACCATTTTATTACCGGCCGCCAGGAGGCGGTCGGTTATATGATATGAAAGTTTGGAGTCGCTCTGCGTTTCTGCGGAGTTAAAGCAATTTAAATAAAAATATTTTTAACATTAATATAATAGTATATTAAAAAGAGCGTCTACATGTTTACCAAGAACGCACAATAAAAATAAAATAAATTTTTTTTATAAAGAATGAGGTAAATATTTCATCCAATCCTGATTGAGAAACTTTTACATGTTTGAGGTGCGGAGAAAATTAGGACATGTGTTGGGCATAGTCTAAAGCAAAGACCGCGTTACGTATATTGCACAATTTTACTTTCTCTATTTAAACAGGATTTGTTGTACGTATTTATTTTAAAATGACGTGTACACATGTACATATATAAAAATTTTCACAAATATGGTTAAATGTTAATTCATCAAAAGACCTAGAAGGCTACAGAATATTACAAGATTTGGCCTAGCAGACGAGGATAATGCACGTTTTACAATGTGCCAAAAATTTTCCCGCTACAACTCAAAGAAACTGAAAGAGAAGAAATGTAGTGGCGGATCTAGAGGGAGTTTAGTTTTTTCCTCCAAGAGAGAGCAAGGAGTCCCACATATTTGTAGCGTTTTTATTAAGTTAAAATAAAACTACACTGCATATCTAGTTGTAGATTACATTAAACTTTAGTTTAAAACTTTTAATGTAAATGCCTCTTAATTATACAGGCCCAAGGTTTGTTGACGCAGAGGACCAGGGGTACTTTGCTTATACATGTAATAATGAACATGCATTATATAATTTAAAAAAAATCATGCAATGTCGTGCACAAGTGATTAATGTCAGAAAGATATATATTAACAGGTAAATATAAGATATTTTAAAAACAGATCACCATTTCAGTCTTTAGTTGCTTCATAAAAGGAACAATTAATTGGTTTGCGGCCGATTTTTGACGCTTGCGTCAATATATGTTTCTTGTTTAACAATGAAATGAAAATATAAGGAATCACTGTCTAGTTAGGAGAGTATGCCAGGGACATCAACAATAGTGGGAAACATGGGATAATTTTAGCATAACGGGCTTCGCCCGTTATGCAAATTATCCCATGTTTCCCACTATTGTTGATGTCCCTGACATACTCTCCTAACTAGACAGTGATTCCTTAAATAATTAGACTGTTTATTTAAACAGTATTATAAATACTTAGTTTTACTGCTGGATAAACACGTACGTCTCTCGCACCATGGTGAAGTTTAAAGAAGGGTGAACTTTGGACCAAATTAGGAGCGTATCGTAATTTAGCGTTTGTCGCAGATCCAAGAAATCACCGCGCTTGTACCATGTGTTGGTTTAACAATAATTGTTTGAATTCCTTAGACCTAACAAGATAAGTTATTAAAATGTTCAACAACAATTTTAAAGATTAACACCTCTCTTTGTCCTTATTTTATTTTATTTTTTTAGAATATACATTATTTATATAAAAATAATTCCTAACAATTGTAAATAAAACGTTGTGTACGAGTTGACTTCTGATTTTGTATACGAGTTGACTTTTGATTTGTGTACGAGTTGACTTTTTGTGTACGACTTGGTTTGTGTACGACTCGGTCTGTGTACGAGTTGACTGGACACCGTTCCAAATAGCCTGTTTCAAGCTTTAAATTAACACAGAGTAACACGACTGAGGTTTCTGTTTCAGTACGATTTTGAACTTATTTTTTGTTTACTGATGGTGTGTATTCATAAGAGGGAATATTTACCATATGTACTTACTACTGAGTATAAATTTAGGGTATCCAAATCGAAACTGGATGGAATGTAATCTGGGTGCGATCGTTAGGGGGAACGCAGATATAGTCCAATCCACACTTTGCAAAAGTTGTTTCCCTTTGCGGGGGGGGGGGGGGGGGGGTGTCTACTAAACAGAGTACGCTAAAGTACGATAGAGTACTTTAGAGTACGCTAGAAAAATTATGTTATTTAATGCAATTAAATTCTTTATTTATGTATGTACAACTTGATTAAACATTATTATAATATAATATAAACTTGTATTGCAATATTTGTTTCAAATACTGTATTTGTTTTTAGCGGTAATTTGACAAGAAAATAACATCCATAATTCAACGCCTTGAAGAATACTAGGCCTAATACCCCAATCTCGATTACCATTTTGTTTCAGACTTACTTACTAAAGACTTACATCTAAATTTTATCAAATATTAAATTAATTGCATGTGTGAATATTTTGCACACTCACAATGAGACATTTCAACATGTTCAAGTTAAATAGATCGGAATCAAATGATAAACCGTAACCTGAAATCGAAAATTGAAAAACTCCTAAAATAAACAAAACATACAAATTTTATTTAAAATATATATTCAATTTGTTAAACTAAAGTAGAAAAACATACAAAAAGTAGTTTAATTACATTAAATTATAAGATATTACTAGCATACTCTAATGTACTCTATCGTACTAGCGTACTCTGTTTAGTAGGACCGTTTGCGGGGTCAACCAAAAGGTCAAAAGGGAAAGAAACATCATTTCTCCTCTTTATGCTACCAAACATTTGGGCGTGTTGTGATAAATCCATTGTGTTTAATTTTTTTTCTTTCAATGTGTGGGTAGCCCCATCTTGGGGCAATCGATACACAAAAGGCAAAGCTTTTTTAAAGTCAAATGACGAAGTTACAAACCTGAAAACTACAAAGGCTACTGTGTGGATTGTATGGGTTTATCCCCTAAGATGGTGGCCAAGGGACATAACTTTTGAAAAGTGTGGATTGGACTATTCAGTCCGTCTCTCAACAGGGGCCTGCTCCCACACTGGCCACAGGGACTTGAGACAGTCCTAGCAAAATCGGGTACATGTATATAGTATAAATAAGGGAGAAGGGACCTAACGAGCCGTCATTAATTCCTCGGTGCCTCGCTTCAAACTCTGAATTCAGAAAACTGATTTTTATTTAAAAAATCCATGAAAAATTTTCGGTCCTACTTTTTAAAACAGAGTAGAGTACTTTAGAGTATGTTGATAAAATTTTATAATTTAATGCAATGAAACTGCTTTTTGTATGTTTTTCTACTTTAGTTTAACATAATGAATATATGTTTTGAACAAAATTTGTATGTTTTTCTTATTTTAGGAGTTATTTCAATTTTTGATTTCAGGTTACGGTGTACCGTACTGCTTGATACTGATCTAATTTAACTTGAACATGTTGAAATGTTTCACTGTCAATGTGGAAAAATATTTACATAATGCAATAAATCTAATTTTTGATCAAATTTATTTGAAATTAGTAAGTCTGAAACAAAACAGTAATCGAGATCTGGGTGTTAATAATTTTTAATGTACAGTCATTTAGGGTATTCCGCATCAGCTTTTTCATTTTGACTGCAGACGATTTTATTAAAAACTTTACAAATGGTTTTTTGATATCAAAGGAAAGCCAATTTAGTGAAAAATCAGATCTACTTTATAGAACAAGCTTATCTTTATAACCTTACCTCTATACATGCTATAGTCAGCTTCATAGAAGCAGGTCATGCTGAAAAGCAATAATACCAAGAAAATAAGGGTTTCAAAAATTACATTACTGTAAATTGTTGTCCTGTTGATATAATTATGTCAATTTTTAGCCCCTGTGATTTTATTTCAATACAAAACAATTAACATCGAAAATATCATATAGTTCTACAAATTACCGAAAAAAGATCATACATGTAATGATGATGATAATAAAAGAATGTGTGAAAAGGAATAAAACCAGCTTCGTTTAGATATCACAGTTATTAAATATGACATAAATCACTGCATGCGTGCAAAGTATACATATGTATATGTATGTGTACATGTACATGTATATGCGTGCAAATCCATATTTGTATATGTATGATAAAAGGATCAACACTGGTCAAGTGTATACCATCGCTACTCATTAACTCATCACGGACTTCTCAGTTCATAAGTTACATAACCCTTGGATTTAAAGAAAACCGATATCACAAAAATATCTGACATATAACAAGTATGCGGCGTGTGCAATTTACTCTGCCGCAGTGATGCACATACGTGATTCGAAATACCCCAAACTGTATGGGGCCACAAATGCAGTCGTAACAATTACATTTTTGAGGTGTATTAAAAAAATTATTAATGCTCGTGGAAGCTCATAAAATTTCCCTTTTATCAATACCTAATATGCTAGGTTTCATCCACCAACAACGTCACGGCATCGATGAGAAATATTCTGCAACATTTATACACGGGCATTTTCTTCAAGAAGGATAGAAAGTCAAGTGAATTAATTATTTTTTAAATTAACGCATTAAATTAACCTCTTTATTTTTTGTATGTATTAAGTTTGAATCATGTTGTTTATGACTGTTTGGTTGTCACAAGTGTGCATGTATCGTATAAGATATAGCAATAAGGAAAATAACCGTGTGTCACGAAATGCGGGATGATTTGGAATACCCTAAATGACTGTATTGAATCATGAATGTTATTTTCTTGTCAAATTATCACTAAAAAACAAATATTTGAAACAATTTCAAACAAATATTGCAATATAAACTATCTAATTGCATTAAGCAACAAATTTTTCCAGCATATCTAAAGTACTCTACCATACTCTAGCATACTCTGTTTAGTAGTACCCAAAATTTTTTTGTCAGTTGAAAGGCAGAATGTTGTGCTTTACTGTCATGAATAAGTTTACCTTACTTCATTAAAACTCGTAAAAAAAATATTCAAACTTCTGAGAATTGGGTCACCATTTTTCCATGGAATTTTTGTGCATTACATTAATTTTTCCGCACTTTGTCATCTGATGCACACTATCTTAGAGCAACATTTAGAAATATAACTGGTTTCGGCCATCCTCACAATATTTAAGTGACCGTTGATTGTCCACCTCGAGAGATCATCTCCACTTTCACCTTTGATTAACCATAACAGCAGACAAAGTAGTGGATTAAATACCTATTAAGGTTTTACTTTAGATCCTCCCCCTTCAAACTGCATTAGACATTTGGAATGTGTAGATGGTGATATCACAAAAGATAAAGTACAGTGTGTATGTTGATATTTGCATTACCAAAAAGCAGTTTAAAACCATTGCCCAAAACCAGACCCAAAATGTATGATCCTCTCTTATTCTCTGGCCTTGCTTGAATGAGAAGAGATATTTCATAGCTCATTAGAATATTGACCAATGCAAGTAAAGCATAGTTGTAAAATTAACTTTGATGCAATCTTTCTATACCTGATTGCAGTAAATGAAATATTTTTGTTAACTGATGATATCGGTTGTTGATTTCAATTGCGATGGAAACAAATATTGTCATTGGTTGAACAAAAAAGCAGTTTAAAACCATTGTCCAAAATCAGAGCCAAAATGTATGATACTCTCCCATTCTCTGGCCTTGGTTGAATAAGAAGAGATATTTCGTAGCTCATTTAAATATTGACCAATGCTAGTAAAGCATAGTTGTAAAATTAACTTTGATGCAATCTTTCTATACCTGATTGCAGTAAATGAAATATTTTTGTTAACTGATGATATCAGTTGTTGATTTTAATTGCAATGGAAACAAATATTGTCGTTGTTTGAACATGACGTCACAGCATATAAGTGTAAATATTTAAGATAACAACAATTCATGACTGATCAAGCAGGCATGCCAGTAGGAGATAGATATAAGCAGACTCCTAACTGTGGCTTGAGACAATGGTCTGAAACATAAGTATTTTGTTTCAGGATGATGTATTTTATGGGTTTTTTTTTTCTCCACTTATATCTGAATATATATATTTAAAATAAAAAATACTTGAAAATATAATTTCAGATTCAAAGACATGTTTAATGATGATACAAATATGGAGTAAATGTTTGTAAATCCTCTAAAAGTAAGTCGTTGCTGTGCTTAAACCCCCATCTTAAATTACCCTTCACCACAAAGGATTAATTGGGAGTTAAGAGTTATTAAACAGATCTTGGACTCATTAAAAATTTCTGAGAACAATGTGTAGATTTCAACACGAATTTTCTCCGTTTGTGCACAATATCTCAATAGAGCTCACTATGCAAATTGTGCAAACACTGTTTGCTCTCATCAGAGTGATTTCCTGACAAATTTTTGATCCACAAAAAGTTTAAAATTTTACACTATTCTTTCTCCTAAGTTAATTTTATGTCCTTAAAGTGAAAGATTGCCATCGCTATGAGGACCAAATTCTCTGCCATTAAATGTCCACCAAGTACTTCTTCATAATACTCCGATATTAAATTAAAGCATTTTAAAGTAGAAAAGGATTGCCTGCGAGAAAGTTTAAAAAATTTCATTAACTAAGCAGTAGTTAATTAACAAAGATTGCATTGAAGTCTTTGGGGAAAAGTTTTTTTTTATTATTTAATAAAAATTCAAATAAAAAGAATATCTTTCACCAAAAATCAAGGTCATAAATAAGGACACAATCCCACCATTACATGCTTATAGTAATATATGGGAATTATGTCTATACCAAGTATTCAAACTACATATCTGTTTATATGTATTTCATTGAATTTGTTGCTATAAGGGATTGAATACCTTAAAAGCACCTTAAAGCTAAATGATTCATTACGATCCAACTGATAAAATATGGTGTTTGGGAAACTATGAAAAGTGGACTGAAATTTTAGGGTGTAATTTTTCTAAATTGGGAAAGCTTGATTAAATGGTAAAATTAAGAGAATCCTGCCTTTATCCTGAAAGATGGCATGTATTGTAAATTTAAAAGTTTACATGTATGGTAAAAGTTTCTTACCTTAAGATGAAGTCAACCAGAGAAAGCCAGGGAGTTCAAAACCAATTCATTTACATCAGTTAATATAATTATTTGCTTTGTTTTATCAGGATGCTAAAAGACTTATCCATTTTTATTTTTCAGGTAATGCATTTGCTACATATTTAATAAAATGAAAGCCTGGAAGGTGATTGTAGCTCTTTTGGCATTATGGCTACTTATAATGATCTACATGTCCAACACAATGTTTCAACCCTCTGATGGTAATCTAGCTTTAGAGAGAGAACTCAAACAAACCCTACGACAACTGGATAAATTGAAAGCCCAAAATGAAGAATTTCAAAATTTGGCCAGTGATATCAGGTGGGTATTTTATTTTGCATTAAAACTTACGTTAGTAACACATGTGCTGAAATATTACATAGAATGAAAAAAAAAGATAAGTAAGGCCTTATTTAGCAACTAATGATTAAATTAACAACAACTTATAGTGTCAGGTCTTATGAGTCTATGTACATTTGCAGTAAAAAAAATTGATATTTTGACTGCGTATAGGGACAATCTTAAATAGGTACAGAACAGAAGCTCTTCAGAGTAAACTATCAACAGGCCAGAGAGCTATAGAGTACAGATCACCCATAAAAAAAACTGTATAGTTGTGCTTGGTTCTAGATTGACTAGTTTGACATTCCTGTTTGCTCCTTGGGGAACATATGGCTGCAGCCATATCACGTCATCAGTGGAATATGCTCCTTCTGCTGTGCTTTGCATTTAGCTCTGTGTAATTCTCAGTTTCAAAGAAACTATTCTGATACATACTGATTAGAGCTATGCAACTGCATCAACATTTTTTGACTTAAACCTTTCCTTTGACCTTGACATCAACTGTCTTAAAAATAGTGTTTGGCTCAGTTTTAATGAAACCATTCAAGATATATTTATCAAACTTCATAGGCTGATACGTAGTGATGAGAGCTTTTCAACTGCTTTTTAGCTCACCTCGACGAAAACGAGATGAGCTTATGCTATACCCCCGGCGTCAGCGCCGGTGTCTGCGTCGGCGTTAGCGTCGGCGTCCCAGGTTAAAGTTTTAGGAGCAAGTCCATTCCCAAGTAACTATTAGCCCTACCTGAACCAAACTTTCATGGATGATGCATCTAGGGATGTACACTACCAGACTTGCTTCGGATGCTGGATCTGACCTACATTTTCTAGATGAGTGACCAGGTTAAAGTTTTTGGAGCAGGTTAAAATTTTTGGAGCAGGTCCATTCCCAAGGAATTATAAGCCCTACCTGGACCAAATTTGCATGGATGATGCATCTAGGGATGTACACTACCAGACTTGCTTAGGATGCTGGATCTGACCTACATTTTCTAGATGAGTGACCAGGTTAAAGTTTTTGGAGCAGGTTAAAGTTTTTGGAGCAGGTCCATTCCCAAGGAATTATAAGCCCTACCCGAACCAATTTGCATGGATGATGCATCTAGGGATGTACACTACCAGACTTGCTTCGGATGCTGGATCTGACCTACATTTTCCAGATGAGTGACCAGGTTAAAGTTTTTGGAGCAGGTCCATTCCACAGAAACTATAAGCCCTATTTGGACCAAACTTGCATAGATGATGCATCTAGGGATGGACACTACCAGACTTGCTTCGGATGCTGGATCTGACCTACATTTTTATTCCCAAGTAACTATAAGCCCTACCTGAACCAAACTTGCAATGATGATGTATCTAGGGATGGACACTACCAGACTAGCTTCGGATGCTGGATCTGACCTACATTTTCATTCCCAAGTAACTATAAGCCTAGCTAAACCAAACTTGCATGGATGATGTATCTAGGGATGGACACTACCAGACTTGCTTCAGATGCTGGATCTGACCTACATTTTCATTCTGAAGTAACTATAAGCCCTAGCTAAACCAAACTTGCATGGATGATGTATCTAGGGATGGACACTACCAGACTTTCATCAGATGCTGGATCTGACCTACATTTTCATTCCCAAGTTACTATAAGCCCTAGCTAAACCAAACTTGCTTGGATGATGTATCTAGGGATGGACACTACCAGACTTGCTTCAGATGCTTGATCTGACCTACATTTTCATTCTGAAGTAACTATAAGCCCTAGCTAAACCAAACTTGCATGGATGATGTATCTAGGGATGGACACTACCAGACTTGCTTCAGATGCTGGATCTGACCTACATTTTCATTCTGAAGTAACTATAAGCCCTAGCTAAACCAAACTTGCATGGATGATGCATCTAAGGATGGACACTATCAGACTTGCTTCGGATGCTGGATCTGACCTATATTTTCCATACAAGAGACCAGGTTAAAGTTTTGGGAACAGATCAATCCGAATGAACTTGAAGTCCTTGATATCTGCAGTATTAACAAAGTTATGAATATTTGTTAACACTATACATGTTTTTCACGCTACACGTGTAGAAATGTGTATATGCCATGTAAGGGGTTAAACACAACTTGCAAGAATATTGTTGTTGGGATGAATACTAAATATTAAGAAAATATGATGTGAGATTTCCATTACTTAAACTGATTAACATTCGTCGAGGTGAGCTTCGTAATCTTTGATTACCTATGTTTTGATATCATAGACGATTTGCTTCTTTAATAAAAATGAAACTTGGAAATGTTAATCTCTTAATTGTGATTGCATAGTCATTAATAAAGCTATGACATTAAGTGTCATTTTGATTCTTACAAACAAGTTCTCTGAGGTGGCAATATCTATGCAGTCTTTCAACTGTGTACACATTCTCTGAAATTTAGACTTTTTTTTTACATAGGGAAAGCTATGAATGGTCATATTGACATGTAAGCATCCTCATGTAATGAAGATTCCAAATTGTTCAAATCATGACCCCTGGGGGTAGGGAGGGGCCAGAAAAGGAGGATCCAATTTTTACAAAGTATTATATATTATAAAGGAAGAAAATCTTTTAAAGTATTCTTCTCATTAACAGCAAAGTTATATGCTATATTGATATGGAAGCATCCTCAAGATGAATAAAATTCAAGTCTCCCCACCAAGTAAACTTTTCAATACTGAACTGATTTGTGCCTTTTCCTAGCTGGCATGTTCAGGTGAGCAATGTGGCCCATGGGCCTCTTGTTAAAAATTACACTATTTACTAATCAATCTTATCCACAGGAAATTATCTAAAGGAAGCAAACTGCCATTGAGAGGAGGGGGATCTGACACTAAGAAGATCAGGGAACTCCAGGATAAACTGGAAAAAATGTCAGAGAAACTGCATGACCAGGAGAAAGCAGGACTTGTCGAAAAAACTCAGGAGGATACCAGTGTCTCTATGTCAGGTATACATGTTTGACATACGAGTCTACTAAAGTAGGATAAACAAACTGATTTTACAGATCAAGAAAACTAGATTTTTTTAACATCAACATAAATTGCGATGCTAAACTAACTTTCTTTTAAATTACCATTTCATCTATCACTTGACTGAGAGCATAGTGAGCTTCTTAGAATTTCAGTATGCACATAGCAGATTGAAAAGGAAGAGCAACTTTTATTTCCCTAGGATAAGGAAACTCAATTCGAGCTTGCCTGAGCATGGTCAGTCAAAGAACTATATGCGGTATATTGCATATGTTTGCCCCCACAAAAGTCAAATTTTGAAAACTTCCTGAAATGTGCTGAATTCAATAAATTGTACGAGAAATATAAGTTAACAGAAAATACTATAGTTCCAGAGCAGTGTATTCACAATTTCTGTTTTTATGACGTCACAAACTAGTCCGATTTTATATCCTTTTTCAGAAAGAGGACAAAATGGACAAAATTTCAACAATTTAAGCTTTAAAATTATAGAGCGCATGTGTGTTCAGGAACAATATTGACATATTTCATTGATATTATCATTCTACACATTATATCAAAATATTTATCCTGAACACACATGCGCTCGGTGACTTTTATTTAAAATATCGACGAAATATGTACATTTTTCTGCAAAATTCATAAAAAACTGAAATTTACGTCATATTTGTGACGTCATTACGTACATATGACGTCATTACTTATGAAATTATTCAGTGCTTTGAAGTCAGCATATACTCCCCTGTTTAAGGACTTAATTAAATATTACCCCATCAAAGTTTGATTTTGGGGGGCAAATGTTGGTTAATACCGCATATAGTTCTTTGTAGGGAGTTTTTTAGTCATGACCCTTAAGAGGTAGGGAGGGGCACAATGGGTGAACAAATAATATTTCCATTTCCATTTGTTTTTCCTGTGATAAACACTACAAAAGTAAATCTTGTTTATTCTCCGTGATTCCTGTGGCATGTAAATTTCTGTATAAGGAAATACTACTGAAAGGTCAAAGTTCAACCTGTATGTATACATATGGTACATGACTGGCGTATAAATACATTGAAGAAAAAATATATGTTTTGTTTAATTGTTTTCTTAGTAATTATATATGATATATATTTTTACAAACAAAATAAATAATGAATTATCTCCGGATCAAAAGCAAGTCACCAAGTCCATTACCACTGGGGACTCGCGAGATCGAGAACTTCACTTCCATAAACATGGTAAACAGCCCATCTGAACCATGTGGAGAAACGGCATCGCCACATAGATCGATCTGAACTTCATCATCTGATACAGACATCGTCCCTCAGTCATTACCATCTGACTTATTAAGTCAACTTCAACTCAACTTCCCATGTTATTTTAACATCCACACAAATCTGTTTCCTGACCATGCTGACCAACTCCCATTTCATCAACTGGAACATTGCATTCAATATGGCAGCGGAGAAGTGTCCTAGGGCCTATACACGTTTTCGTGCTTCCGACAACCTAAATCTAGGTCACATATATAATTAAAGTTAACAAGATTGCTTTGGTCATATTTTAAAATTCTTTTGTTGTTTATTCTATAAATGTTGATATTTGGTATCTGATTTGGTATCTGGCTACAGTAACTAAATAATCAATAAATTTGGTTCGTGTTTTATGGGACTATTTTTTTATAGTAAAATTTGATGTCATGGGGCGGGGCAATAGAAAAGAACATGAAATGCCTCGTGCATTTCAAATCTACTAAATTAGACGGTATTCCGATTTATTTTAAGATTGTTATTTCAAGTAAAAATGGAAATATAAGGAATCACTGTCTAGTTAGGAGGGTATGTCAGGGACATCAACAATAGTTGGAAACATGGGATAATTTAAGCATAACGGGCTTCGCCCGTTATGCAAATTATGCCATGTTTTCACTATTGTTGATGCCCTGATATACCCTCCTAACTAGACAGTGATTCCTTAATTTAAAAAGAAAAAATAGGATTAACTAGAGCTGACCTCGTTGCAGAGCAAAAAGTACAGTCAAACCTGTTTTAAGAGGCCACTTGTGGGAGAACGACAAATTGGTCACATAAGACAGGTGGCCTCTTATTCCAGGTTTCAAACCAAGGAATAAAAAATTGCGACCAGGAAGTTAAGTCACATGAATTATTAAAGAAATCTGTTATAATTAGTTTTTTGTTATTGTTGTTGTAGTTTTGTGTTGGTAATTTTAACAGTTTAACAGCCATAGAATTTACATCATATGAAATCATGACATGTTCTAACAAAATAGCATTTCCCAGATGCTGTGCAAAGCTTTTTAGTTTTTCTAGATATGTATTATATAAAATAATTGGGTTATAGGCTTATAGCACGAGACTGACTACTTGACTTGATAACCTCGGGCGAAATTATAAGATTTTATAATGTATTGAGTTTATATCATGAACTTATTCAACAGCTGTTCAACAACTTTTTTTCGTATATAAAGAACAAAAAAATATTTGTAAACAATATTAATTAAATCATTAAATCCTGACAGAATTCAAATTACACCCGCAATTATCGGTAAATACTCATTATCAGCTGTTCATGTTTGGCTTCCAGAGGATACGCGATCACGTGCCAGATGGAAGTCATGTGACAAAACAGACAAAATGGCCGCTGAAAACAGGCATGTTGAGTGCACGGGACCTAAAAACACTGGCCACTGGCCACGTTAGACATGTGGCCACTTAAATGAGTTAAAATATAGTGAAAAAATGAACGGGTGGGATTGAAACTGGCCAATCATGAGGAGTGGCCACTGATTAAGGGTGGCCGTAACAGCAGGTGCGACTGTAGGTCTTCTGTCCGATTTTCAGAAGCACTGCTTGTAGAATGGGTAAATAAAAATATTGTATTCCTTAAAAAGAAAACCTCCCGACCAAATATAATGTCAATCTGTATTTGTACCTTTGATTGAAATCTATGTTGATTTTTGTTAAATAAACCACTCTTTTACAGCTTACTTTTTTTTGACTGGAAGTGACCCAAATCGGCTAAAAAATTTGGTGAGAAGTCTTGTGTGAAGTTAGTCATTTGATTTGACATTAATATTTGCAAAAATAAGCCATCTATTGTTAGGGCTGTGCGGTGCACTGCGGTTCATACTACTCGATTCGGTGCACTGATCCAGAATTCCGGAATTCGGTTTGGTTCGGTTAAAAATTTACGTAACATGTATACACAAAAATAGGAGATTGGAAATGTTTGTTTTTATGATTTTAATACTTTTTAAAAATGTTTAAGCCAATTTGAAGTCAGTGATTACTGTGAAATCACAAATTTTCGTTGTTTTCGAGGTATGAAGAGACCCACAAATTCATCCTCCACGACATGTAAAATGTTATATATATAACTATTCAAGAATTCTTCAGCCATGAAATCAAATCCCCACGAACCAAAAGTTTTTACTCAAACCACGAAAATTTGACCCCACAAAAATATATGATTTTACAGTAAGTTTTTTTTTATTCCTTAAACACCTTTTCCTTTTACAATAGGGATTAGTTTAAATAAGTATGGGCTATAGTAAATAGCAGCAGGTATTTTCAAAGTTTTGCTTTTAAATCCCCAACCAACGAAAAAAATCAAAATGTGTGGTTCTCCCGACTTAATGGAAAATACATGTAGATATCACAATAAATGATTCAATTATTTTGAAATACTCAACTGATTTACTGAAGATAAATATTTACAAGGGTTATCAAAAATATATTAACCTTGTATCTTAAAATTTAAATTGAAAAAAAAAAATTAAACCAAGCTAGCTTTCACTTCATTTTGGAAGAGGAAGACCAATGATCAGAAAAAAAGATGAATGAATATTACTATGTTAAAAGGTATCTATAGCATGATTGTCCTATTAAATTCAGCCTTAAGGTCCTCCACACAGACACAGCTTATGTTATCATATTGCAGAGCATTACTTTTAACAAGTATATTAACCTTTGAAAACTGGCCAGGAATTAAAATATAATTAGGGCCCCACTTGGGGGGCGCCCTATAGTGATCAGTCTGTCCGTCCGTCCGTCTAGCTGTCCGTCCGTCCGTCTGTCCGTCCGAGATCTCTTGTCTGGAGCATATCTTCTCTCTCCTTGGCCCAATCTGGCTCATACTTCACCCACAGAGTGCCTTTGGGTAACCGGTGTGCAGTGACCTTGAACCATTTTTCTAGGTCAAAGGTCAAGGTCATAGCAGAATTTTATGAAAAATCCTTGTCCGGAGCATATCTTCTCTCTCCTTGGCCCAATCTGGCTCATACTTCACCCACAGAGTGCCATTGGGTAACCGGTGTGCAGTGACCTTGAACCATATTTCTTGGTCAAAGATCAAGGTCAAAGCAGAATTTTATGTAAAATCCATGTCCAGAGCATATCTTCTCTCTCCTTGGCCCAATCTGGCTATTATCTCACCCACAGAGTGCCTTTGGGTAACTGGTGTGCAGTGTCCTTGACACCATGTTTCTAGGTCAAAGGTCAAGGTCATAGCAAAATTTTATGAAAAATCCTTGTCCGGAGCATATCTTCTCTCTCCTTGGCCCAGTCTGGCTCATACTTCACCCACAGAGTGCCATTGGGTAACCGGTGTGCAGTGACCTTGAACCATGTTTCTAGGTCAAAGGTCAAGGTCATAGCAGAATTTTATGAAAAATCCTTGTCCGGAGCATATCTTCTCTCTCCTTGGCCCAATCTGGCTATTACTTCACTCACAGAGTTCCACTGGTCAATGGATGTACAATGACCTTGGTCGAAGTTTCTAGGTCATGGTCAGAATTAGCCTCTCTGTTTAAAATCTTTGTTTGGTGCATAATTTTTTCCCTTTAATTCCAGTAAATTTATATAACTGGAGATTCAAGATAACTTCGATACATATCTGTTAATTCGCAATATCCGTGAAGTCGTACTAAATGACTTTTACTGTATAACACAAATGTTCCTCTTTAAATTAAACC